TAGGTTGTTTGGGGTCCAGGTAGACCTGAAGCTATACGGCGTTTGGGTTTTGCAGGGGCTTGTAAGGGTGTTTTGGAGAGAATGATCTTTGCATCATAGAGGGGGGTGTAATTAATGTAAGTTAAAAAGTATTCCTTGATTCAGTAGTTTGGGGGTGTCTGGGTTGGGGAGTTCAATCTCAGATACAAGAAAAAGGCTTGTGAAGAAGGTTTTCTCGATCGCTGCCCTAAGCCCTAAACCCTACCAAACCCTGAACCCTAAACCCTAGACCCCACAAAAGCTGCCCTGCTAGGTAGGCGCTGAGGCGGCCAAGGAATGCCGCTTCCTCTACACCGGCCAGGGACCCGAACGGGCTTAGAGTTCAGGGTATTGGTGTTTGGGGTATTGGTGTTTAGGGTTTGGGGTTTAGGGTATTGGTGTTTGAGGTTTAGGTTTAGGGTTTAGGGTTTGGGGTTTAGGGTTAGGGGTTTAGGGTATTGGTGTTTAGGGTCTAGCGTGCTCGTGGGTTCTTCTTCTACAAGAGCTTCATATGTTTAGTTTGTAAGAGTTTTTATATGTTGTTTCATAACGGTCATATATGCGTTTTGTAGCCGATTTAACGGTTGCGCAAGGTTTTGTTTAGAAGGTTTCGTAAAGGGGGGAGATGCTTTCCAGTTAATAGGGCCTTTCCTCAACAGGGCTTCAGGTTGTAGGGTTGATAGTCTCTTACAGCATTTGATGTGGCTTTTTCGAGGTGTGGGGTCTAGGGTTTAGGGTTTTGAGGTTGATTACAGCACTCCCACACCTGGGAAGGGTCATAGCAGGGATCCTGGCAGTAAGACTTCTCTAGGACTGCTCCTACTTCTTTCAGTGACACGAAAGCAGTTATCGTAGTAATGGTCGTCACCGCACTCCTTCTGCTACGGTTGATGCTATGAATCCTGCATTACCCGTAATCAGGAATAGACCATAATTCCCATAGTCTAGGGTTCTTAAGGTAATGCATTTATATCATGAACAGGTAGTGATGGTGCCTTGTTTTTTTGGCGATGCCTTACGATAATTGAGTCCGTGACCCCTGCATCCTGAACGCCCCTGCTCAATGAAGTAAGTCTGCTGCCCTAAACCCTAAACCCTGAATCCCTTAACTCCAAACCCCAAAGCCCTGAGCCCTAAACCCTGTACCCTAAACCCTAAACCATAAAGCCCTAAGCCCTAAACCCTAAACCCTAAACCACAAACCAGACAGCCTTGAGCCCTAAACTTTAAATCCTAAACCTTTCATCAACAGGGCTTGAATAGTAGGATCCTACTGCCAAGCCCATGAAGCCGGGTGTTACATGCCGGGGTTCTACGCCACTGAACATCCATGAAACCCGTATAGAACCCTTGGAAATTCATATGGTGCTCCATAAACGGCCCTGTAGACACCAGAAGTTACAGAAACTCCTTTCAATTTGTCTTAAAGCCTACATGATAAGATCCCCTCATTTTGGCACCTTGTTGTTTTCACCAGGCTCGGTGAACGAGAAGAATGCCCAGGAAGAAGGGCTTTGAGGTTGTGGGATGGGGGTGAAGGCTTCGTGGCGCGGGGTCGGGGTTTGTCTAAGGTTAGAAGTCTGGGCCCCTAATATGGACCCTCAGTCAGGCATTTGTAGGGACCCTTAAGGGTACATATAGGGTATATAGCAGGTGCATAAGGATCCCAGGGTTAAGGGCCTATACTAGGGGCCCATGGGTTCAACCGTAGAGTTTGGGTTTATTATAGGATCCTTAGGGGAGGGTGGCTCAAGGGGGGAGGGTCCTAGGGAGCTTTAGGGAACCTAAGGGAGTAGTAGGGAGAATTGGGGATTACTGGGCTATATACCCCCCTTAGAACCCCCTCCCTTAAGGATTCCATAATAAACCCTCATCACTAAACCCCTAAATCCTAAACCCTATATAGCCCTGTTAGAACCCCCTCCCTTAAGGATTCCATAAGTTTAGGGGTTCGTGGCCCCTTCCTTGGTGAGGCCCAGACGAACTGTGGACCTCTCGGGTTCTTGGTTCTTGGCTCCTAGATTTCAAGTGCCGATTTAAGGTCCGGACAATGAGGGGTACTTTTTCCCTGTTTTTCCCGATAAATCTGACCCCCAAAGCCTTATTCTAGCTGTTATGGTCTCAAAATTCGGGTCAGAAACCCTACACACTATTATTAAGGCCCTCTCCCTAAGCCCTAAACCCGAAACCCTCTATATTAGGGCTTGGGAGCAGAGATGTCAGCTTTAATGGTTTAGCTTCCGGGTGCCCAGGCGGCTCGTAACATGAGCAAGATCGATGTGGGTAGTTCCCTAAACTAGGGTCCTTTTGTAGATCCCCCAAATAGTACTGCGATTTTGTAAACAGGACCCTCAAACGGACCCTAATTTGGAGAACCCTAAACCCTAAACCCTAAACCCTAAAACTACCCTCATAGCACCTCTTCTAGCACCCTTGTAGAATTTTTTAGAGATCCCGTAAAACAGCACCCCTCCACGTAGGAGTTGCTTCCACCCGTGGTTTAGGGTTGTAGACAAGCCCTGGCTCCAGGATCGACCCTTCCGCAGGGTTTTGGGGTTTAGGATTTAGGGTTTAGGGTTTAGGAGTTTAGAACTTAGGGTTTTGGGGTTTAGGATGTAGGGTTTGGAGCTTAGGGTTCTGGGATTTAGGATCTGGGGTTTAGAGTGTACGGTTTTGGGGTTTAGGATCTTGGGTTTAGAGTTTAGGGCGGCCATGACCATTTATCTGTTTTGACTATCTTTAAGTTGCAATACTATTCCCACACGGTTGTTATCATCAGGATCCTCATTTCTACAAGTACTGTCGCTGTCACTGTGAGCTCTCTACAGCGGTTTAATCATGCATGATCTCGAGTATTGTTGTCTCTACTCTTGTTTTCTGTTTCATTCCTACGAGTGTCGGCAATACCATGATGGTTATGATTACAAGCACGCATATGATCACTGTTCTTACTTTGGAGAAACCGAATCAGTCTCTTTCCGTGGAGGAGTACGCTTCGCTTCCGGACGTTGACGGCTTTGTCGTCGGCCGCGCGGGTTTAGACTGCACAAAGCTTTCGTCCATCTGCAACACGCTGAAGGCAAGTGCAAGTTCATAGGAAGCTTTAGTTCCGATTGTCAGGTTGCTTAAAGGGATTCTGCAGACTTTTTCTGCTGACATCTGCTTGATTGGCGCCAGGATTGATGTCGATGACACAGGTTGCAAGCAAGCATCACTTCTCTGCAGAAGAGCCCTGATACCGAAATTGGCCCAAGCCCCTTTAACCTAAGATCTTGAAACCTGATCAGACCCTGCTGTTGACTTGTTTCAAGTGACATGCCTGGAGCAGGCCGCGAAGGAGAAGACGGAGAGCTGAATGAAGTCTTGCGTGGAGAGCAGACTGAGAACTGACACCCTGGTGAGTGTTAAGTATGGTTTAGATTTAGGGTTTAGGGTTTAGGGTTTAGGGTTAGCAACACTGGCAAGGACAGCAACACGCTTTTGTAAGTGTAGGAAGAACGACAAGGTTCGAAGGAACTGGTGACAGTCTGGCAGAGAGCATACTATAGGGGCCTTCATAATTACCAATATTATTCCTCAGGGGTTCCTTTTTAAAACTAAAGTATAATATGGCCCAAAACCCCCGTTCTAATTGTTTATTAAGGCCCCTACATTACCATTGCAGTGACAGCCGAAGTGCTTTCACGGATCCGAATCAGCATGGATTCCGGGGATGTTCCGACATGCTCGTCCCATGTTTTATGGCCGGTGCCCAAACGAGGCGCAGGCTCTTCTGCAATTTTTCCGACCTTGAAAGGTGTGTGCTGATAGGGTTTTCGGGTTTAGGGTTTATGGTCCAGGGTTCTAAAACCCACAACCCCAGACCCTAAACCCTTGTAGAACTCGATGGAAACCCTTCTTGAGGACCCTCTACAAGCCCCCCTACACCCTAAACCCTAAAAAAACAATTCTAATTGAAGTCTGTATGAATTCCAGGCTCTGGTTTTTGTGGAGGCTTCGGGCTCGCAGTTCAGCTTATTGGGCTAATGACGTGGGGCTGGGTTTTGGTTTAGGGTTTAGGGTTTAGGGTTTAGGGGATTTTTTGGGGCTTTGAGACATCGAGGTGCCGTCTGCAAAAGCAGAGTGGGGGTTTCGGCTTCAAGGGTTTGGGGTTGATGAGTTTGGGGGCTCATGGTTTGGGCTTCTACTTAGTTCTCCAATACCCAACCTTCAGACTTTTTTGGGCTCTTATAACTTAGTAGTAGCCTGATAGTGTAACCTTTCATTTCCCTGTTATCTACCCCCTAAACCCTAAACCCTAAACCCTAAACCCTAAACCCTAAACCCCAAAACCCTATTGTAAGCGTAAGAGTCCCCAGTGACCAGGTCCCCAGCCTGTCGGCACCGGCGCAGCCCAGGCATCTTCTTGTTTGTGTGGGTGGCTGTCAAAATTATGGTCCCTTTTTGGGTCCTTTAATACGGCACCTATTATTTAGGGTACCCCACAAGGGACCATCATTTTGACAACTATCCATGTGGGTTCCTCCGCCTGGAGAATTAGACCAGGGTGTTGGGGTCGATTAGAGAGGAATTTTCATAAGGAGCCGTCAGGAACGGTGTTGCTAGCCATTGAGGCTTCTATGTTGAGCTGTGAAAAAGGAAGGGAGGGCTTATACAGTGGGACTCGTGAAGAGCTTGTTTCTCTGCCTTCTTGCGCTTTCGACTTTGTCTTGGGGTTGCTATGGTTGTGATGGCTGCACTGCTCGTTAGGATGACGATACTCCCCTGAAGCCTTATGCTCTGTAGAAGAGAGAAGCTCAAGACGAGCTTGTAATATATGGGCCTTAATGATTACCTACATGTTTTGGGGGTTCCTAATCATACATGTGGTATAAAGGACCCCCTAAACCCTAAACCCTAAACCCCAAAATCCTGTTCTAATTATTAAGGCCCCTACATTAAACCCCTATAGAGCCTTTATAGCAACCCTGTACAGGAACCCTTTAAAGGAACCCTATTCTAATTATTAAGGCCTCTACAGTATCCGCGAGGCCGCAGCGGAAGGCGTCTGCAGGCTTGGCCTGGGAGAACGGGGGTCGGTCGGGTGTTGAGTCCTTCCTGTCGGTGTAGGACTCCCATAGGACCGTTTCTTTGGGTTTAGGGTTTAGGGTTTAGGGGTTTAGGGTTTAGGGTTTAGGGGTTCAGGGTTTTCGTTATAGGACCTATAGGGGCTTGATCGGATGTCATGTCACTTTTGATGGTGCTCAGATGGGCTCAGTGCTTTGGAAAGGGCTATGGGTGTTGTCTCGGTGATTTGAAACACGGTGGCTTCATAGATTCATAGCCCATGAACTATCCCATCGCAGCCTCTAAAATTGAGGGTGCCCCGTTTGGCGGTCCGAAGAACACTGACCTGAAGTTGGCGAGTTTCTGTTGGGATTCCCGATTTTGAAAGTATCACATGCACCCACTTGGCATTCCTGTGGCCTCTACCGGGAGGATCGGACTTGTTCTGGACATCCTCACCCCTTAATACGATTTGGGGCTAACCCGCCCCGAAACCATGAGCCGTAGGCACCCACGCCCCAACATCCAAGCCCTCAGCGCCAAACCCTAAACCCTAAACCCTAAACCCTAAACCCTAAACCCTATAAACCCTAAACCCTAAACCCTAAACCCCCAAGCCTCTAACACTAGGCTCTCCAGCTCAAAGCCCCAAGCACGAAGCTTAACAATCTAGGGATCTGAATTAATGTTCCTCTGTACATCTACTATAGCCGAACCCTAAACCCTAAACCCACTATCGCACAACCCCGAAACCCTGCTGAAATTACTTACCCTACTCCAATTACCAAGACCCCCAAAACAAGCAATCGAAACCACCCGAAACCCTAAACCCTAAACCACAAACCCACGGCTTCAACATGGGGAGGTGCCGATGGCGACAGCGATGAGAGCGAAGAGTGCAACCCTCGGCTAAGGGTGTCTTTAAGGGTTCCTTTAAGGGTTAATTTGAGGATTGCTGTGAGGGTTCCTTTAGCGTCCGCTATCACGCGTAAAGGTTTAGGGTTTCGGGTTTAGGGCTTGAGGTTTAGGGCTTAGGGTGTACAGCCCAGGGTTTCCTGTTTCATGTTCAGGGTTTTACACCGGTGGCAGGGACTTCGCGATCGAGTTTGCGATCGAGATCGATGCCGATTGCTGGGGATAGACGAATTCCGCCTGCTGGCGCTGGTGCTTGCGCTGGGTGGGGCTGGGGCTGGCGCTGGCGCCCGCGGAATAAGGCTATAGTGCGAATGCTATGATGATCAGGTGCCCTGAACCCACTAGATTAGATTCCATCCTGACATTCCGAACGCTACCCTAAGGCCTAAATCCTAAAACCTAAACCCTAAACCCGAAAGCCTAAATCCTAAAACCTAAACC